ATAAATTATTAAGTTATAAATTTGATATTATGAATAGTAAAAATGTCTAAAAACGTTCAGAAAAATGGAATACGTTCAGAAAAACATAATTATGTCTGGAAAATGTCTGGAAAACAGGTTTATGTCTGAAAATTATCCAAAAAATGTTCGGTAAATGTCCAATATTGCATTCAAACATTGAAATTCTGGACAATAACATTTTCTGTACAAAATGAATGTCCAGAAACCACCAAGATTTGTAACATATTCCAGACATTCAAACATTGAAATTCCAGACAATGACATTTTCTGGACAAAATGAATGTCCAGAAACCACCAAGATTTGAAACATATTCCAGACATTCAAACATTAAAATTCTGGACAATGACATTTTCTGGACAAAATAAATGTCCAGAAACCACCAAGATTTGAAATATATTCCAGACATTCAAACATTGAAATTCCGGACAATGACATTTTCTAGACAAAATGAATGTCCAGAAACCATCAAGATTTGGAACATATTCCAGATAATGAAAATGTTCAGAATTTGTATATTATTATTTCAGTACATATTCCTGTTAAATTCCGGACATTCTTTTTTTATAGGGCAAGTTATCTTAATTGACTTTTACTTATTTAAAATTAAAAATGTAGTACTAATTAAATTTAAAGAATTGAACTGTATATAATATTTTCTTTTTAAATTATATATTTTCTTTAATTAGTATAGTTTTGATGATCAAAAAATTTTATTTTATATAAAAGAAGAAGTTTTAAAAATATAGCATAAATTTTATTAATTTCTTTTTATCTCTAATATTTCAAAATTACTTTATTACAATTATGTTATTTTTTATTTCTAATTTTCATAAGTTGCTAAAAATTTGAATATTATAATTTAATTATTAAAATATTCTTTTAAAACTCTAATAAATTGATTTACAAAGACTAATAATATACATTTATTTTTATAGATATTTAAATGAAAATCTCTTGACTTTATAATTGGATTGAATCATGTAATTTTCAGGATTTATTATTTTATAATATTTACAGTATATAATATCTATATTTAAGACGATAGCTAACTTTAGTAACAAATTCAAAAATATCTAATATGTTTTTTTTAATTAATTCTAATTAGTAAATAATTTTTTTGTAAAAATTTTTGGAATAATCGATCAAAAGAATAGATCATGAATCAACCACTAGTTTTTAAATCAATTAAATTATCAATTTTATTCATTTATAAAAAAACTTTTATGACTTAAAACATGTCTTAAATAAATTTTTTCTTTAATAACTAATATGATTGGTGAATATTCCAAAGTAAACTTATTAAAAATCAAAAAATATATATTAATAAAATTAATTTTATAACTATTTTATTATAAATTTAATATTATTTATTTATTAATAATTTTTTAAATAAGCTAATCTTAATAATTAAAATATTATATTTTTAATGCTAATAGAATTTTTTTTAATAGAAAGAAGAAAAATAATCAAGTTTACTTTTATATATTAAATATGATTTTAAATTTAATATTAACTCATTTTTTATTTTTTTTTTAGCTATTTTCACTTTTTATTATAAGTCATATATATAAACTTTATTGTTAATATTAATATAGTTTTTATTTATAAGATAAATTCTTATAGCAATTTTTTAATATTTAATTAAGTTTTTTCTATATTAATATATGGGATTTCATCAATAAAAATACACTTTTTTACTTAATAATTTATTATATTATAAGATATATTTCTATTGATATCAACAGAAAAAATTGCAACTTCAAATATCACGTAAGATCTGCTAATCAATAATGATCTCATGTTGAATAGTTATAATATCATTTTTAATGTAAATAATAATTTAAACTTTTAATAAATAAATAAATACTATAATTTTCTTTTTAACATTAATCATTCTTTTAATATGAATCTTAAATAGGTATAAGTAAAAAAAAATAGTTTAAAATTAATTTATTAAAAAATCTTTTTATATTATAATTTAATACTGTAACTTGTATATATATATATACTATAATTAAAATATATGATTGTTTTATTTATTTACTGATTAAAAAATTTCTGTAATATTTACTTATAAAAATTTTCTATTTATTTAATAAAAATATTTGAATGAAAATTTATCATTACTTTTAATTATAAATCAAAATCATATTTTATTTTTATATTCTGATAAATCCAAATTATTTATTAAATAGTTAAATTTTATAAAAATCTTAATTTAAATCAACAGTAAATATGTAATTTAATTTAAAAATCTATGCTAAAACTATTTGAAAATAAGATTTTTTAACTTTGTATACATATTTATCATATATAGAATTTTTAAAAGAATAACTATATTTCTTAATAAAAATGCTGAAATTTAAGATACCATTTTGACTTGTATAAAAACTAAATTTAAATCAATAAAAAACTTCTAGTAGAAATGATTCCATTATTATCTAATCTTAAAAAATTTAATAAATATGTTGAAGGCATACAGTATTAAATAAAATTAAAAGATTGAGATAGTTATTTTTGCAAATAGAAAAATAGAATCAAGTATTAGCGACTTTTTTTTTTTTTTATGTATAATGGATAAATTAGCATTAAAAAAATACACTTATATTATTTTAAGCTTTGTCATTGAGTTATATTTGCAGTTATATTAACATCCGTGTTTTGAAATAATCTTGAGTGATTTGTTTATTTTTTTTTTTTTTTCTTAGTTTTGATAACCAAAAATGCTTTTATTGTATCGAAGAGTTGCAATCATTTCAACCTCTTCAGGAATTGATTGGTTCAATTCCATAAAACTGATGACGATATGAATTTCCGAATTCAACACAACTTTGGAGGGTAATTAACAGGTGCAAATATTTGGATGAGAAGGGTTAAAAATTTGAAGTCAAATTAATTAATTATGAAAGCAATCAAGTATTTAACCAACTGAAATATTTACTGTACGTTATTTACAAATCTTTAAATTTATTCAAAGAAAATTAAATTAAACATAATTTTACATAGACTAAAAAAGTCTATGAAGTCTATGAAGTCTATAAAGTCTATTTTGTCTAAAAAAAGTCATTATATAATAAATATAAAAAAAAAAAAAAATAAAAATCATTGTTTTTCTCTTTCTTTAGACCTTTTCAGATGAAGTAATCGGATGAACTCTTGGCCAAATGTTTAAGGTGAAATAAGAATTTTCTTTCGTTAAGATTAATGCTATTGACAAATACCAAGCCAAGAAAGCAACGATAACTATTTTTTTTTTTTTTAAAATAAAAAAAAAAATTTAATTAATTTTTTTTTTCCTTTTTCGGTCTTCATTTAATAAATTTTAAAATTACCTCCAAGAATACCGCCAACGACTTCACAAAATCTATTTCCGGTAAAGGTTGCAATCGTAAGAAAGACATTAATGAAAACCATTAAAAAGAAGATTGCGATCAACACGAGATTTGATTTTAGCACACAAATCAACATTAAAACCGTAACTATTTTTTGAAAAGATTTTTTTTTTTTAACGTGAATTATCGAAATTCGTGCAAATTGAAGGGAAAGAAAATCACAGTTATCAAAAAGATACTTACAAATCGTCCAACCTATGAGGAATATACCAAGCGCATTTTTTAACATTTCTGGATCATCTTTATAGGAAGCGATAATCCCTGTGGCATCAAAATGAACGAATCCGAAACAGATCCAATAACCACCTAAAAAGTGATATGTTAATATATGCATTGAATAAACGCATGGTTTTTAACCCAAATAATGAATTATCCTTACCATAAGAGGAGAAAACTGTGGCGTGGAATACATCTCCTCGTTTCAATTCAAACAATCCAGCTAGTAATTGAATGGCGCCTCCATAGAATAAAGCCAGACCGAGACCAACATTACTATTTGTTATTCCACCAGCACCCGTTAAATAAATCGAATACACAAACGATGTCATTGCAAAAGAACTCAAGGCTATTTATCATTAAAAAAGCAAAAATTAGGATTTTTTTTTTAAAAAAATAAAAAACCTTACTCCTCGAATTTAATTGATAAGGTATCTACCTAACGGTGCAGCATTTGCTTGATGCTGTGGTTTAAATGAACTTTCCTCGAAGTGAACATGATGGAGAGTTGTAGTTGACATTTTTTTTCTTAAGGAAAAAGAAAAGGGTTTTTTGAAATTAAATCTTTGAAAGAGAAATGTTATTTATTTTTCTTCAAATTGAGAATTTATTTATGCAATCTATCTAAGCTTTGGCTGTTTATATATAGAATTCGAAATGAATTTTTTTTTTAATATCACCGGATAATGATTGGTGATTCACAAAATTTTATGACCTGATCAAAAAAAATAGCAATTCAAAATTATATAATAACCCCTTATTCGGAACACAAAAGGTCACCTCATTCAAGCATCATAATAAAAATTTTTCCTTAACTATCTTGCATAACGAATTCACTGGAAATCAAATATTTCGTAATTGTGTTAAGTTAGTCTTGAAAAAAAAAAAGTGGGAACATTAAATATAGACAATATGTAAATCACTCCTAATTATGCACTTGCTTTTGATGGGAAAAAAAAAAAAAATTTAAAAAAAAACATAAATACCATAACTTGCATATTTTTAAGGATCATCATATATATATATTGTCTTTCAAATTCGACCCAAACAAACATACGATTAATTAAAAAAAAGACATGAGTACGTTTGATTGCGACCCCTACCTCAATACGTAAAATACGTAATCGAACTAATCCTTTTATATCATAAAATCGAGATACTAGGGTTACTTTGCTCATGATCGTGCATAAAAAAATATATTTAAAACTTATATTCGGCCAAGACTATTATTATTGGTAAGGTTAATGATACAAATGAAAATTTTTTTCCCGTAGACCGCAGAATAAACTTTTTTCTAATTACCTGAGACTAGTACGATTATAATAATTTTATATATTTATTTATTTAATCATTTATTCAGTAAAAAAATTCAAAGAATGTCACGAGCAATAAAACCAAAGAAATGGACTACGGACGAAATCATTAATATTCTCTCGTATATCAACGATTATTTCAAAAATTCATCTGGTTCGCTAGCAAGGGCATGTGATGAAGCAATGGAACATCTTCAAATAGAAAAAGCGTTTATTCAAAGATCAGGAAATTAATCCAAGCCATGAAGGTATGGTTGAGTGATCACGTAAAGAATGAAGATGTGATCATTTGGCAAGATGATCGAGTTTACACATTGTTAGAATCCATTTGCAAGAGATCAACAATAGAATCGACATTCGGAGAAAAAGAAAAATCACAACAGAAACAAATTTTTAAAGAAAACAATAAAGTTGAGAATTCTAGTGATATGACAGATTCGACTTCAACAGTTGTTGGAGATTATGATGACGATCCTGTTGAAATATACAAGTAAGATAGATGTTCTTTTTTTTTTCAAATAATTTTTTAGTCGATACCTTGGTTTAATAAAAATAAAATTAAAAAAAACTTTTAGGATGAATGAAGTAAAGTCGTCTCTTTTTCAATTTTCATTAAAGATCATTAATGATAGAATCCGCCAAGTTGAAGATGAGGCAAGGAAAGTTTATGAGTCGGCAAATAATGTTGAGGATGTGAAGTGTCATGAAATTCTTCAAGTGATCAAGCAAAAACAAGAATTTCGAGATGAAATGTTTTCATTTGTTTGCGGAAACTGAAAAAAAGATTAATGACATGAGATCATTATGAACATTTTATTTATCCCTTTAAGAGTTTCATTTTTTTTTGTTTGCATTATTTTTATTTCATTAGCTTAAAAGTTATCATGAGGAAATGCAGCATTGTTATTCGCTTAGGTTTCTTAAAAATAGATTAATTATAAAATGCAGGTATTTTCTCTAAGTTTCCTGAAAATAAATAAATAAATAAATAAATGTTTACAATTAAAAAAAAGAACGAATTTTGATCTACAAAACTACTTCTAAATAATACCTTTGGGCGTCTTGTTCATTTGATGACCAATAGTTACGTTAGATGTTAGGAATATCTCACGTTTTGGATGATTCCTATATAAAAAACACTGAAGGGAATAAAAAAAAAATTTACTTTTTTTCCTCTTCATTTTTTCTTTAAAAAAAAACTAAGAATTATCCTAAAATTATCTTAAATCATTTTCAGTCCTTTCATACAAATTAAGGGAAAAAAAAAAAAATAAATAAATAAAAATAATGCCTCGGGAAAATTATAAACCAAAACGTTGGGACACTTCCGAACTAATCCAAATCCTTTCTTATATTAATACACATTTTGAATTATGGTATGAAAATCCTCACGTTGCTTGTACTAAATCCATGGAAACTACTAAAACTTCTCGAGGTATTAAATCGGTTTATGGTAAAGTTCATAGAATGATTAAAGTTATGGATGATTATCTTCAGACTGGCAAAAAATCTTGTGATTTGGTTATCTGGGAGGATAAAAGAATTTATGATATGTTAGAAAATATTTGTACAAGATCTAATGAAATGAAGGGTCAAGAAAGTGAATCTCCAATAAAAAAAGGAAAAAAGAGAGGTCGTAAGAGAAGAAATGAACTTTCTGATGGAATTGCAAAGGATACCAATATAATGAATGATAATGTTATGGATAAAAAGGTGAAATTAACAACTAGGTAATGTTATGTAATCATTACTTGAAAATTACAGTTCTTTAATAAATTCGAATTCTCTTAATAACAATTTCTTTATTTTTCTTCATAGCACCGAAGAAGCCCCTCAGGCAATCATTGAGGAACCTAGAGAGATTGCCGCTGATCAATTGGACTTGTCTGTTCCTTCTATACCCTATACAGTTGAGATGATTGACGAACTCTACAATAAACAAATTCAAAAGGCCGAGCACCATGTTCAAGAATTGTTGAACGTTTCTAAAATCAAGATCGATTTCAACTATAAAGAAGTTCGTGATTTGGCCGTGCAAATTTCTCAACGTCGATCAGAACTTAAGAAAATGACCGACGAGCTTAATGACAAGATGGAAAAGTTGAGGGATTTTAAACCCTTATAAGTGATCTATGTGGTATATACGAGCGTATTCAGAGAATCGTACGATGACGTGAAGTGACAAAAAGATTCATTTTTTTTTTTTATGATTTTGAAAATGAGATTGTAATATGGCGAGAAATTATTTTGCGTTTATTTTAGTTGTTTATTTTTGTCTTACAAATAAAATGTGGTTTTATTCTGTTAAATTACTATAAGGGTGAACAATGTTGAAGTTGTATCAGCTTCCAAACGATTCTTTATAAATTTCAAAGAAATGTGTAAACAATTATAATTGATTCTCTTGAATAAATTATTTAATACATTGAAGGGTTACGGAATTCCCACATATACTTGATATATGTCCCAGAAAACTATTTCACGTTCAGAAAAAAAAAAAATTAAGGTATATTCAGCCTAAATTGTTCCGTCTATGATTTTTTATAAATAAATATGTTCTTTTAATCAAAAGATCTTATAAATAATTACGCCTAATTTCGACTTACTAAAAATAATTTCGATTCTAATTTCGACCTTTAATTATGTCCGATGCCGTCTTATTAATAAGGGCAATTGCGTCTACATGATTATATAATCAAATTAAACAAGAGAAATTCAAAATTAGCAAATCTTAAAATGAAAGTAAAATAAAATTACCTTAATTGACAGTGGTTTTTTTTTTTTTTTATAAGTGCGGCAGTCTCGCATGATCTTTATTAATATTTATGAAATTACAAGAAAAACAAAATAAAACAGAAAATACAAAAATATCTATAAACTAATCTAGTGAACTAAACTACTTTATCGATACCAACCTTGCACTTTACCGAACTAAACTATACATCAGAAAAGAAAAGAAACTAATCTTAACTAAAATACAGATATCAAACGTCCGGAAGGAAGGGCGTGGTTACTGCCATACCAGAAATTTGACCAGTGGGAACCAAAAGCAACAGCTGTTGAGAAAGAGGAGGGAGCACTATGGGGACATTGTGTAGGCCTTGGGAGTCAGAGGATACCCAAGCAACAGTGAGATCATCTTTGATATTGTTTGAAGTTTTCCAGAGTTGTAGTGATGCGCATCTTGTCAACCATATGTTGTAAGCTGAGGAGAAAATATCATCAAATAGGAATGATAATAAACCGCGAGTGAGTTGTTTGTTATTGGTGATAGAGTTGATTGAAGAGGAAAATGCCGAAGGAATAATTCCTTTCAAGAGATCAATAAAACATAAATTGTTATTGAAGGAGTTGCAATACCATATTGAAGATTGGTCAATACAATCGATTTGAGTGTCGTTGTTAGGTCTATTTAGCTCTTTTAGGTGAGATAAGAACGACTGTTTGTGTTTTTGGATGATGTTGGTAAGAGAAGTTGTATTTTCGGAACAAGACCAAATGTGGTCAAAGTCTTCAACTGCATTATTACAGCGGAAATAATTATTGGAGGTATAAATTTGAGGATATTATGCGTTCATTACCGTCAAAGTAGAGAATAAATGTAATAATAATTTAATTTTGAATTGCTTTCTTTTGCATGCATCAAATGATGTCACCCTGGCGTTTTCTGAATCATTGAGGATGTAAAAAAGAGTTTGCCAATCAATGTGAAAATTGCTATATTTGGCAAGTTGGGGTAGAGTTAATAATTTTTCAGCTCAAGATGCTTGTTGTAAGTTTTTAATAAACAAATGAGGTGGCGTAATGACTGGTGTATTGTTATAACTTATGAAGTATTTAGAACCAAAGTGATTACTGTTGATATACAATGGGGAACCAGGTTGTTTTGCTAAAGCATCTACTTTGTTGTTAAGTTGGTCTGTTCCATGGGCTTTAACTTTTATTAGTGATAACGCTATGTTATTGATTGTAATAAGTTGTATTAAAATCATCCAAATATGAAAATATGGAATTTTGAAGGCGAGATTTAGGAAAGGAGATTCCTCGCATATGGTAATGATATTGTAATATGAGGCAATTGCAGCTTGTGAATCTGTGCAGATTTTAATGTTGGAGTTAAGCGGAGTGATATAGGTTGCGGCAAGAATAGCAACTATTTCTGCTTAGAGTTCCGAATGAGTCGAGTCGAGTCAAGTTTAAAGACCAACTCTATTCGACTCATTTTTTTCAAGTTGAGTCAAATTTATTTTATAAAATTTTTCGATTTGATTTGATTCGAGTTATATAAATTTTAAACTCGACTCAATTTGA